GACCTCCCCACCCCCTGCCCACTCCTGCACCCTCCCCTCCCAGCCAGAACCTCCCTCCCGCACCCCTTCCCTGGCCAGACCCCACTATTGAACCCTCTCTCCTAGCCAGACCTTCACATCCACAGTCCACTCCTGTACTCATTTTGTCATCATGTGTAGCTGACTGGTGGTCTGTGGAAAAGTGTGTAATGCATGGGGTGGACCACAGGCCAAACATTTTGAGAACCACTGCACTAGTTTAAATTCATTAAAAATTACATGAAGTTCTCTATTCCAGTGGTCTCTAACCTTTTTAAGCACAAGATCACTTTTTGAAATTAAGTCAGTCCAAGATCTACCTCAAACCCAAATACTCCTGCTCTGCCCGTTTCGCCAAGGCCCCACCCTGTGAAGATGGGGTACACGGGGAGGGGGGTCAGAGTGACATCAATGCCCCCCTGCCTCTGTCTCCCCTAGTCTGCACAACAAGCAGGAGGCTCCCAGGGGACAGCTCTGAGCAGGAGCAGGGCACTGTGGGGAGGGGATAGCCTCCCAGCCAAACCAGTAAAGATCACCTGTCAGAGGCTCCAAGATCTACCAGTAGATCCCAATCTACTGGCTGGTGACTACTGCTCTATTCCCATTTCTGATGTCTCATAATAAGCACTGATTTGGGAAACTATACTGCAAACATAACCAATATTGTTATCCTATCAAAATAGTGACTGATCTATCATGGTACAAACTGAGACATGGCAAGAAATTAAACAATTATGAACTGCTGAAATGGCATAGTACACAACTAAATAAAATCTATTTTCTTTTAAAGGATTAACAACTCCATTCCAATATTAAGCTGAAATAGGACAGCCAATCTATGAACACTGCTACTTTAAGAGGTGTTATCCCCTAAGCAGAAAGGATCATATGCTTTAATCACAAAAAGGCATGAATAGACAGTTTTATCATTATACACACGTATCTTCACTGAATAGTGATGCTTCAGATCAAGAGCATTTGGCAGCCTAATCATACAAGAAAATGACTTGCCTGTAACTGGTGGCCTCTAAAGCTATTTTGTAATACACCTGCACTTTTGGAATTCGTGCGCCTATAAACTGACAAGAGGTCAACTCATGGACCTCTAAGTTTAACTTTACTAGGCAGGGGGGGGGGTCTCTTGCACCAGCCCTTGGAATGGAAAAGAAGTTTTTTAGTGCTCAAGATTCCTGTCATGAAAGGCTGAAAATGCCGCATATATACAGAAATTTTTAAGAGTGACTAAAACCCTGATAAGAAGCCTCAGTTTGTGAAAGAAGGGCAGGGTGATCATTTATCATAATGCAAGTGTAAAATAAATACAAAATTACAGAATTAGTTTAAATTCAGTTAAGGAAATATATGTTGTAAAAAAGGCTCTAACTAGCAAGTAGAAGATCGACCTAAAAGCAATAAGGCCAAAAGGAATGAACTAGAGAGGATGTTGATTCAAACAATAATAAGGTAAGGTGAAATCTCTAAGAAGAGGGCCTCTGAACAAAAGGGGTGACTGCAGATGGTTTAAAGAAGAAAGACTCTGTCAAAAAAAGGAACCAGGATGGAGCTTATCATCCCACATACTACTATGACTAAAAAGTAAAGCCCTATATTAATCCAGATGCAACAAAAAAGCAACAGGTCACTACCAAGAGAGGTGTTGAGGAGAAAGATTATGAATCTTGTTTGGATTAAAACTGGAAGTAAATGTGTGAACTGTCTCAAATTGTTAGGGGGCTAAAATAGTAATGACTATGACTTTTTTTATACTCATCAACAAACAAGAGTTAAAAATTTGAGGGTTCTTTGTTAGACCCTACCTCAGTGGTCCCCAACCATTAGAGGTTGCCGGGCACCAGGGGGCGTGGCCGTTCGCCTGTCGGGCGCCAGAGGGCGTGGCCGTTCGCCCGCTGGGTGCCAGGGGGCGGGGACACTTGCGTGCCCGGGGGCGGCCCCCCCATAGCCGCGCGGCCTGGCGGGCCAGGCCCCACCATAGCCACGCGCCTGGGGCCGGTGCCTCCTCCAAGGGCTGCGTGCCTGGGGCCGGCGCCCCCTCCCCCCACAAGTGCCGTGCGCCCGTGACCGGCGCCCACCCCTCTCCCCGCAAGCGCCGTGCGCCCAGAGTGCGGGCGGCCAATCC